CCATGACTTCACTTTAAAGTACTACCCACTCTTTTTTGCCTAGAAAACTAAAATGCCCCCCTCAATTTTTCTCCCCAAATCGACTCCTGATCATTTCAAAACTGTTTTCCTCATTACAGCCAGAGTGACTTGCTTAAAGTGACAAATTCATCCAACGGTATTTCCATTACTGCTAGGATAAACATTAAAATCTTTTTAAAATTTTATTTTTTGAGAGAGGGTCTTGCTGTGTTGCCAAGACTAGTCTCTAGTTCCAAACCTCAAACGATCCTCCTCCCGTAGCCTCCTGAGTTGCTGGGATTACAGGTATAAGCCACTCTGCCTGGCTTTCAAAATCTTAAACATGGAACTGGACTACTATTCACTCACATTCAGTACCCTTCATTGTGATACTGCTGTCTGTGTCCCCTTGTTGCTCTCAGGCATGGCAAAGGTTTCACCGATGAAAAGAGAAAAAAATGTGAGCCTATACTTCAAGAGCCATGCTTTAACACTTTTCCTTCTGCCATGATAGTGACAATGTTTCAGACAGATTGCTCAGTCAGCCTGAGTCCAGAGTGAAGATGACATGGAGCAGAGCCAAGTTGAACATGTAGGATGAGAGGTAAATAAATCTTCTTGTAGACCACTGACAAGCTTTTGGAGTATTTTGTTACTCAGCATAAGCTAGCCTATCCTGATACATATGGTCTACACACTCTTGCTTATTCCCCTATCTCTTTGCTATAGCCTGTTTAGCCGTGCAGTAATTATAAAAGTTTCCCCCTCCCACATTAGAACATTTATTTATCTATGTTATTCTCTCTCCCTGGAAGGCTCTTTACACCTTCCCCCCCCTTAACATTTACACACTTGTGAGAACTCAGCTTAAGTGTGAAGTACTCAGGAAAAGATTGTCTGCTCTGCCCTATGTTTAAAGTATTATGAATTTACCTTATCATTGTACTGGTTTCACCAAACTACAAGTTCCATGACAACAGTGACCAGGTATGCTTTGCTAACCATTATGTTCCCAGTGACAGGAAGAAATAAATTCTTTTCTCGTTCCAAAGAGTTTTTCTGCATCTTTGTGCACATGGCAGAAAATGGCTATCCAATCCATAGAATCACAACACCTTGCCACTCTAGGGCTGCCAAATGATCAAAATTCCAATGATCTGTTTCCAAAGTCTTAGAGGAAAAATCTGATTGGTCAAACCTGGATATGGTCTATCAGTGATCTAATCATAGTTTACTGGAAGAGCTGTGCTAAGCAGAGTCAACATGGTTTCAGAGATATCTCTGGGAATAGGAGGAATTCTCAGTCAAGTGGATGTGGACTGAGCTGACATTCTAAAAAGCAGATACTGTAATCACTATAGCTGACAACTCTTAAGAACCCTGTTCTCAGTTATCTTCATAGAGCATACAAGAGAATGATTTCTACAAGGGGGTTTCTTAAGGAAGAAAAGGGTGGTGACCAAGTAATTTTTACTCTGTCCTCTGGAGTTCTGCCTTTCCTTAGGCATTCTTACTTTGATTACCACTGCTACTTTGTTCTAATCTTTTGGAAGCAGGGGTGGGCTTTCTAACACACATGGAAAACAAAAATGAAAGGAAAACAACTCTTGCATTTTGATTTTCCATCACACTGTAGGGACAAGTTTGAATTTGCAAACAGTTTATAAATATTAAGGAAGGACAAAAGGAAAATACACAATGGAAGGCAATAAAAAATGTGACTCATAAAATAAAGGTTTCTGGCCCTTTCCCTGGATATATAGTTCCTGTCTCATTTCACTTGAAATTTAAGAGAGGGCCCATATTATCTGAATATCTGTTTCAAAAGCACAGAAAATGAAAAAAAAACAGTTGTTAGCTTTTCTAGAATGTTTCCTGTAACATCTTATCTTTAAGAAAAAAAGAAAACACTTTCTATGTATTGTTAATATAAACTATTTCTAAATTTTTGGCCATTTCTACTTCTTAAAGACCTGTAAAATCTTTAGGAAAAATTTCTAAAGGTACCCACACAACTAAGGATTAAATTCAGTTATTTTTAAGGACTCTGAACTCTTAAATGGACTCTAATCTCTAACTCTTCTCTTTTTTATTGCTAATGTAAATTAGACCACAACTTGAGGAGAACTATATTTAGGATTCCCTAAACACATTTGTAAATAGGGACCCAATACAACCCATCTGAATCAATCTGTGTTTCCATTAAAAGCTTTTCAAGTGTGTTTCAGTCTGCTAAGTATGATCCATGTCCTATTACGTTTTTTTCCCCTGAACAGAGAATGTGGCCTGGGTAGCTAATTTCAGCTTAAATAAAAGTAATAGGCTGTTTAATTCATCACATATTTCAGATTATCAAGTAGTTTTAATATTGTTGGCCTCCCTTTTGTGTTGTAATACTTTCCCTAGCACAGCTAATCTCAGAAATCCTTCCTCTTTTTCTTTTTTTTTCCCCCCATGGACCCATGTCACAGAAATTAATTTCATAACTTTTAAAACTTTGTATATTTGTCGCTTAAATTTACATGTGAAATGTAAAATTAAGAATCCTTATCAACAGTGGTATGCACCTGTAGTCGCAGCTAGTTGAGAGGATGAGGCAGGAGGATCCCTTGTGCCCAGGAGTTTGAGATTGCAGTGAGCTATGACTGTGCCACTGCAGTCAAGCCTGGGCAAAAGAGTAAGACTGTCTAAAGCGAAAATTATTTTTAAATTACTAACATTGTTTTAACATTAGAAGTATGTAAAATTTAAAGTCTATGGTAAAAATTTAAGAGCGTTTAATGCTTTCAGGTTAAGTGAGAATTCGATTTTAAAGTTATAGTGGCATGGTGTAGGTTAAAACAAACACAGAAGGCAATTAGGAGACTTAGGTAATAGTCCCCATCTCTGTCACTAAGTAATAGTGTTGTCTTGCTTCTAATTAGCTAAGAAATCTATTCATTTTTTCCTACCTACAATAGGAGGTAAGCTAGATATTTCAAGTCACTTCTAGTTCTAAAATTATATGATGCTGAAATGTGAACATTTATATCTACATTAATTTTTACAAAGACTGCTCATTGACTGTATTTCTAAGCCCTTGCCCAGTTAACTCTTAGTTCCACCATTATTAATCACCTTCTATGTGTATGTCAGCCATCTCAAATGCATGCTGCAGTAAGCCATGACAAAAACAAAATGTATCTGCATGGATTCAATGCTCCTGAATTGTACACTTAAAATGGTTAAAATGGTAATTTTGTTATGTAATTTACCACAATAAAATATTATAGATCCACACACATTCAGACACACACACACAAATGCATGCAGTGCTCCCCTAATTATTTGCATGTTACTTAAAATTGCATTATTGTTGTTTGGACATCAATTGGCTTCCCCAAAGGATTCTCCAGTCACTCCAAGGATAAGGACTCTTTTTTTTTTTTTTTTTTTTTGAGGTGGAGTCTGAGGCTCACTGCAACCTCTGCCTCCTGGATTCAAACAATTCTCCTGCCTCAAGCCTCCCAAGTAGCTGGGATTACAGGCACACCACCACACCCAGCTGGGATTTTTGTATTTTTAGTAGAGACAGAGTTTCACCATGTTGGCCAGGCTGTTCTCGAACTCCCGACCTCAGATGATCTGCCTGCACTGGCCGCCCCAAAGTGCTGGGATTACAGGAATGAACCACGGGCCAGTCGGATAAGGACCCTTAATCCTTGCTGTAACTCCAAAGCCTAGGACACCATCTGGCTTTTAGTTGCCAGGAAAGGTATTTATATCCCGGGCTTTCTAAGTGTTATTTCATGTATTTAATTATTACTTCAAACCAAGGCAACGTATTAGATACATAAATAGTTATAAGAGTTGTGAAATACACACCAGAAAAATTCTTCATCACACATATGATGAGTTAATGTGGCCACAAAAATCCAGATCTTGAATAAATGTTTGTTAAATTGATATATGAGACTTGAGAAGGCAAAAGGATAAACGTTAAGTCCTAGCATCAGGCTAACAAATCTTACATGGAGTGCAGAAGTACGTAATATACTTCCTAAGATGTATGTCAACAAATGCCCTTCCTAAGTAGCAACATAGTAACCTAACCTACCCTTACCACTTTCTCCAGGTAGCTTTTAACAAAGGAATTGTACTGCAGCTTCAAAAAATCAAAAATTACGTGTTTACCTATCCATTCACTGCTCAGACAAAACAAAAACAAAAGCTACCTGTAGACTTCGAAATTCCTGAACACTATAGGGTCATTAAAAACAAACAACTAGATTTACTCTATTTAGCTATACGTTACTAAGCAGTCGGGTTAGCTTTAATGCTTATCACGCCAAGGAAAGTTGGGTTTTTTCCTTTCCCGAGGGTAATTCTGTCCCACCCCCCTTTTAAATGAAGTTAAAACAATCCAAAACACCAGCTAATCCTTAGCTCTGTAGAGTTCTCCAGCACAAGGAGCAGAGTTCAGCCTCAAGGAAAAGGCATCTCAACCGCTGTGCATTTGTTGCCAGGGATCCAGCCGCTTACATTTCATAAAAAGTACAGACCAGACCCGTTTAGCCAACTGCGCACCTTACTGGTGGAGAAGGCGTGCTGGGGGTGACCGCGAGCAAAAGGCAAAATTATTGGTTTCGGTTGATGGGGGGGTAAGGGGAGGGCAGAGGATATGTGAGTCCCGAAGCTCTTTGGTTGTGGAGGTTTAAAAGGGGCCTGTTAAAGTTAGGCCCAAGCTTCGGCAAGAAGGTGGAAATTAGGCAAAACAACAAAAATAAAAATATCCCGAAAAAACAACAGCGAGCAGGCTCCCGAGTTCTGGCGTTTACAGAGAGGCCGTTAAACGCAGCAGGAAAGTAGGCGTGTGTTTTCTTCCTCTTCCCGCCTCCCCAGAGACGCAAGCCCAGTCCTTTCCCCTCATTTTCACCCTAGCCGGGCCCAATAGCTGCCCTCGCCGCGAAGTCGGGTCGGAAGCCGCCCCGCCCCCTGGCCCCTCTAGCCAAGGGGGGACCCCTGTGCCCCACCTTCCCTGCCCGACGAGAAGCAGTGGCTGCCGTCGTCACGTGTGCTGCCAGCCGCCAAGTGAGGCCGCTTTTACGACGCGGTGACAGTCAAATGGTGCGACAGAAGGAGCTGCGGCAGCGGCCGCAGCGCCCCGCACTGAGAGGTTTGAGGCGACTCTTGGCGTCGCCCAGAGGGAGCGACTAGGCGAACAGTCCGGTGCTGGCGGGCGGGCGGGCGGCCGGCGAGGGGAAGCCCGTTACGAGTGCCCTCGCTCCCCGCCGCTCTCGATGAACCGGACGGAATAAGTCGCTCCTCCAGCAGGGGCTGCGCCTCCATGAATCTCTAGTTTTTTTTTTTCTTTCTCTCCCCGCTCCTCACCTCTCACCCCAAGTCCCGTCCCGCCTTCTCCCTTCGCCAGCGGCAGCCGCGTCCAGGTGCGGAGTCCATAGCGGAGCGCAATGGCGTCCAACCCCGAACGGGGGGAGATTCTGCTCACGGAACTGCAGGTAAGGGCCGCGGCCCGGGCGAGAAGCGCTGGCGGGGGAGACTGAGAGAGAGTTCCGCGCGGCGTTGGTGACCGAGGGAAGTCGCTGCCGCCGCGTCCCTAGCCCGCTAAGTGCGGAAACTCCGGGTTGTCACTCGGGAACTGCTTCCCTCGGGAGCCGGACCCTCTCCCCTGCCAAAGCCCTGGCCTGCCACAGCTTTGGTTTGATTCTGGTTACCAGAGGGGGCCTCATTTTTGCAGCTCTGCTGTAGCGAGAGTCTGCTCTCGCCCGGTCCCAGGAGAGGCCGGCCCGCCGCCCCCTTCCTCGGTGTCAGAGCTGCCGGCGAACGCCCCTGCCGCCCCCTCCCTTCGCGCGGCCGGGCCCCGCCCCGCCTTTCCTCCCTACACCGCTCCTTAAACTCCTTTGAATGACTCCCAAGCTGTTTTTTTGTTCCTCCCCCTCTCCTCAGACTCCGCACAAAGAGTGCCCCCAAAACTTCCAGCCCCTAGACAAGTTTTTTTTTTTTTTTTAAATGTCTCACCAAATGCTTACTTCACTTCACCAGCCCTCGTCAGGTGACGGTGTTTCTTCTCTATTTTGAGGGCTATCTTTTTCTTTTCCTTTTTTTTTTTTTAAACCAAGTGGTAGATACATGGTCCCTTTCTCAGCTATCCCTGCCCAGATCCGGAAGCTCAGATGCTGAATTTTCCTTCTCATTTGAGCACCGGAGTAAGAGCTACAGAAGTTGTTTACAAATGAGAAAGCAGTCGACTAAGGGAAAACATTGGGCACCACATGTCTTCAAAAGATGAGAACAAAATAGATCGCTTAGTTAAGTCCATGTCGAGTAGCAATATTATTCTTTCCCATTTCCAGCTAAATATTTGATGATGGAGGCACGAATTTTGTTTTTAGAACTCTATGGTGTACATGGGGGACTTAAGCTACCCTGACGGGTTTTCATTACTTGGGAGTGTTCAGAGGTGTTTACATCTGAATTCTAACAAAGATGTTAAAATTTCATGCTTGTTTTTAGACTTAAAAGTTATTTTGCTTTGTTATCTTTTAGCTACTCGAAGACTGTAGATGGGAATTAAGAGAAAAAATAGCATGCTTGCATTTCTTTTTGTGGGTTGGATAGTTAATTTTTTTAAAAAAGTAAATCTAGAAACTCTTAAGAGTTGATTCTTAATGTCAATATTAAGTATTGCAACTGCATCTAAATTTCTTGTTTAAATACACTTTTTAATAAATCTTTATAAGTTTGGTTTCTTGTGCAGTCAGACATAAGCTTGAAAATATTGGTATAGTATTTGATATTTCTTCCACAAAAATAGAGATTTCAACACTGTATACAAATTCAGTGTTGCAAATTTAGACTTTTGGAAATGCACAGCCGAATTTCATATAACTGGAAATGTTGCTATGTAATATTTTAATTAGCCATTTATAAGCAGATCTTACAGCATACCAAGTTAGCTAAATGAATGGAATTTACTATTTTATTAATAGTAAATAATTTACATAAGCTTTTAAGATGAAGATGATTTGAGGCAAGTCAGAAATGCTTTACATTGCCTGGTCTTGAAACATGAAAAACATACTTTGGTTTTGATTGAGAAAGATAATAGTGTCATTTTTCTTTTAAATTGAGCAGTGTTAGTGTTATAATATATTTGGCATTGGTACTTGTATTTCATAGAAAGTTGGCATAAAAGACACCTACTTTGGCAGTGGAACTGAAAATATATTTTCATGTGTATTAAAATACAACGTTTAGGATCTTTTAATTAGTATGATCAATTTCGATGATAACAAGGAGGCAAGCAAAGAAGGAAGAAATTTTAAATATGATGACTTAGAAATGTGGCCAAAATGGAGGAACACCTGAAGTTAAACTTTTAGATAAACTGAAATATAATCCCTTCCATAGAAGGAATAGTTTTTATTAAGTGTTACCTTATAGGTTGTCATATATCCAGGGCATTTTCTTGGTTTATTTGACTCCCAGTTCTGATAAAACTTATTGCATTTAAAATTTATCTTGTTTATTAAAATGTTTGAGAATATTGCTTAAATCAGCATTTAAAGATAAATAGTCATAAAGTTTGCTTCACCAAATATTTCCATCTATTCAAACGTTATATTTCATTGAGTCCTGAAACTTCGCGTACAGTAACCAAGTATTTATTAAAACTTTTGTTTCAAGAATCACTTTTTTAAAAAGCTTCTAAGATTGTTTGAATTTAGACTGAAATACTGCTTAATATGAAGTTCTTAATGCTTCTCTGCCATACAGATTTTAAGTATTTAAGAAGTTTTGTATTTAGTTTTAAGATGTATTTAATGATAAAACTGTTATTTTGCTATATAGCTTATCTCAGGAATACTTGTTTTACAAAGTTACGTATTACAACCTAGCTTTAATGAAATTGGTATTTATTTAGAAATATATCCAGCTTTTCATCATTTTTTCAAATTGTAGAATTTGAAATACTCCACTGCCTGAGCTGGAATAGGCTTTTGGTCGTGGAAAGGCAAAAATAAGAAAATCTGAAACTACGGGGTTCTGTCTTGTTATTACTGTGATGGCATGGAGTAATGTTTTTAAGTATTGCTAGTAATTCAGGAGGCTTATTCAACAAAGAAGCATTAATAAACTGTAAACTTTGGTGGCTAGAGATTTCAAGGTAAAAGGAAGAATATTTACTGTAGTAAAAAAAAATGGGCTGTTTAAAATTGGCAATTTTTAATTTTTTTGTCTCATAAGTAATTTGTTTTATGTACTCTGTTTTTTCTTTGAAGTATAGCAGAAAACTTAGATATTTTTGCAATGCAAATAAAGTTTATTTCTAAGGAACCTGGATTAATGAAAACTGTAAAGAATCTCAAAATGAAAATATTGGCTACATTGATAATTTCGTAGACTGCAAACCAGATATTGAGCAGTGTGCTAATAAAGCTATCTTGTTGATTATTGGAGATTCATTTTCTTCACCAAAATGTCCGATAAAGTGTTGATCTGGGAATCTTAAAATTCCATTCTCAGCAGATTTTATTTAGAGGTAACTTGCATAAGTGGGAAGTTGAGATAGTGACCCTTAAATTACAGGGGTTAATTTCAGCAAACAGTTACGTAGTATCTACCAAAACTATATTGGGGGATATAAAGATGATAGGATAGTTTTTGCTTTCTAGAAGAGTATAGATAATATTCGTACTAAAAGAGAATTATAAGAGAGTACAAATAACATTTTAAAATTATTTGCTGCATATCAGACATTGTGCTTAGTATCTTATACACCTTACTTGATCTTCACAACAATCAATAAGGTAGGTGTTATTTCTATATTGTGGGCCAGGAAACTAAGTTCAAGAATGTTAAGTAAATTGCTCATGGTTGCATTGTGTATCTGAGTTTGAACTCAGGTCTGTTTGTGTCCCACTACACTGTTTTATGGAACTATAAATGTTTTGTACCTAATGTTATAGTTGTGTAAACTTTCTACAAATTGGCCAAAAATGTAATTAACCAACATTAAGTTAACTTTACACTCCTTGTTAGCTCCATCTGTAGCAAGGAAAACTGATTTCTACATTCCACTTGGTAGTCTGTAATTTAGGACTGTTTTATTGTTGTTAATACAGTCTAATATTCCACAAAGATTAATAGTACAAACAGTCTTTTTACAGGATTTCTTCATTAAGAATCACTGTTTTTAATGAAAACTGTCACATGCTTGCCCAAAACTTCCCAAAAGATTTATCATTCCTCTGTAGACTGTGCTTTGCTTTAAAGTTTTATACTCATACGTAACCTAGCTCTGTGTTTGACACTTAGTTGGTGCACAATACATTGATGAGAAAGCTCCATTTGTTACCTAGGATGAGGGATATCTAGATTATTTTAAGATAAGTCCCTTATAATATTTGACATATGAAATTATATAGTTTTTGTTAATTTACATTTCTAATACCTTCTCCCAAAAATATTCCCTTTAAAAGTACAAAAGGGATTTATTACTATAGTGGTTACATCATTCTTCCGTATAGCACACTGGTAGTTTACTCATTTAATGGAAAATTAGAAGGCGGCATCTAATTTTGTAGTGACACTGAAAAGTGGAAGGTCTGAGTTGGGAGGACTACAAATTTTAGGTTGGTTTGGGGGTGGTAGTATGAGAAGGTATGCAGGGTAGTTGAGACGGATTTTACATTGTTTTCAAATTAGAAATAAAATGCATGTGTATTATAGAAAATCCAGAAAATGTTGAAAAGCACAAAAGAAAATAAAACTTGCTCATAGTTCTGTCACTTATATACTGACAAGACTTTTCCCACCTAAAAGTCCCAAAGCCATAGGGACTTTTCTTCTTTTTTTTTTTTCTTTATCTCATTTTCTTTATCTCAATTCATTTCTTCTTCTTTTCTTTATCTCATTTTCCTTGAATGTTGAGGAAAAATGAAGTTCACAGAATTTTAAGATAGAAATCACAGTAGGTTAAAATTTTTTTTCTTTCCACTGGTTCTAGATGGGTGGAT